GCCCTGCAGTTCATCATATCGGGGATCATTCCAGTGGATAGAGTGATACAACTATCAGATCACAATCGATGTGAACAAATTTCTCTACACCTAATCCACACGAAGAGACGGCGCAAATTGGCATTCCGGTTGACTGCAGATAGTACAACTTCATTCAAGTGGAACAAAATCAGATGTGCAAGACTGATTTGATCTTGTTGGTTAACACCATAGTATGGAACCGTACAGCGGATGATGTCAACCTGCAACTGAAATATTTGCCAGAAAAGTCAGAAGTTAGTATACTTTTGAACAAACGCTAGGCATTGAGGGGAAGAAATCTGACGAAAGACACGGTGTTGCGTGACTTCAACCAATGCCCATATTAGGGGTCTTCTGGTTTCCTTTATCCCCGTTTAACCTCTCCTCTCGCTCGTTCGCTCGCTATATATATATCGTGTTGTTGACGAAACAATTGTAATAAGACCTTGTCCTTCGTCACTTAATACGAATCTCCACCGTTAAAATTAAGGTTATAAGGACCCTTTTCAACTGTCCTTAATATTTCAAACTTTAATTCTGGTAACGGATCACTGTTTACATCTTTAATGCATATTCGGTCAGTATACGCTACTGACCTTCGGAATGTAAGCGTCGGCCTTGGTAAGCTCTTCAAAAACTCTTTTTCGGCCTGCTAAATGAATTCGTATTCATTGCCAAGTAAAATGTCACAAACCGCCCCACATCAAACGAGTTTTGATCGACTTGTCTTCAAACAATTAAACATGACAACTGTGTTCCATTGTATGGATTTAGGCTGTCGGATTTGCTAATCACACACCCATTAATTGGAGCCCAGTATCCTGGACGAAAACGTGATGTGATAGCGTAACAAATTTTAGATGTGAATCTTTCGACACGAGGCGATATAGATAATCTGTCTTCCTCCCAGAGTCACCCGAATCTTCTAATTAAAGTGGTCCTCCAACACCCAATCAGCCCGGAATATTTAGTACGTCTGGATATGAAATAAATGGAAGTAAACGTTTTATAGTGTTCGGAACACTAATAAGGCCACTCATTTTTTCATATTTTTGAGCACCACCACAGTTTCTCTAAGAACGTCAGAGCCTTTGAACACTTGTCAGGGAGCACAGTCAATCCCTACCTTCACAACTGCGGTTCTGTGGTCTGATTTCAAATTGGTTACAGCTCATTTATTTATCAGTTGTTCTTCTTTGACCAATAGTGTTGAGGCACCATTCAATGATACTGTAGAGTTCAACTGGGTAAAATGAAGAACGTCGGCAGCAGAGAACGGATTATTTTGGGCCTGGTGAGAGGCCGGATGGAGTAGCGGGTGGATTGTAGCAGAACTGAACCGCTCCAAGACCGGAGTGACCAATTTTCTGGCTGATCTATCTGGATCAAGCATGATGAAAACGAGTAGTATAATCAAAACATGTGTGATAAAGTCAAAAGAAGAATAGTGAGAGTAGCTTACAAAAGGGGTTGCAAGTGCCCTGAAGTTCAAGTGTTCACCTTATCTTGATTTGAGCGTCAGGCGAGTAAAGTAAGTTGCTCCGAACTGGAAATCCACTATAGTGAGAAAGGTATTCTGACTGCAGCCTACTCAGGTGTAGCACAGGGTTCAGCGGATAAAAAGATCATGGCTTGGAACGACAGAAAGTCATGTTAATGAGAAAAATTTCAACTTGGAAAACCCAGCATGTAACTGTCATGGTCTACGGGGAGGGGAATAAATCAACAAAACGGTATGTTTCAAATGATACTCATTTGTGGTATGGGGAACCAGTAGGGTAGAGAGAAAGTTCGTGAATTATATTGAACAGAAAAACAAGAAGGGCGCATTTACGTCAAGGCACAAAACAATCCCGTCCTTTCGATTTTCTAGGGAGATGTAATCAAGTAACTCATTTTTCAACAAGATATTGCGCCCATTCACACCGCATAACTCACGAAAGCTTACTTGTTGTACGAAAAACTTTCAGCTGCTGGACTGGCCATCTCAGTCCTGATTCAAATCGAACAGATAAAGTTTGGGGAATCATGACAAGAAGGAACTGAAGAAGCGATCGATGAATAAATCAGAGGTAGAACTTCCGCAGTGTTAGATCAATAGTAGACCAAACGTAGTTTAATAGTAATTAAAAAAACAGACGTTTTCTGAAATTGCGGTTGTATTTAGTTTCCAATCGGGATTGCCCTAAAAGCACACCTCCTTAGAGCTCCAAGTGCCATATACAGAGTTCAGTCCCAGTCAAATCTATTTACTTGTTGAGGAACGAAGTGAACAAAAGCTAAAATGCCGATTGGGCCATTAGGATTAGGTAGGTAGGACGCAGACGTACAAGGGGGTTTCAGCGTTACTGAAAACAACTTGATTTCCTATGCCCCAGGCAATGATGGCTTTCAGGTCTGAATGGAGTGAAACGAGCACACAACCGATCGCCAATTGTGAGAGGAGAGTCACGGGAGGTACTCGAAGATAAAACAATATAGGGTTCCATGCTCGGCAAAACACGGATAGGATTAAGATCCCGGCATAAAAGATCGTTGACGAAGAGAAGGAAGATGGCACGGCACGTTGCACGACGCGAGTTTAGCGCCAACCGAGACTGAATGGTTATCAAGAGAGGTTCGTATTCAAGTAACCAAACATAAGGAGAGTTCAATCTTGGTTAGTTTCGTGAAGAGCTTGTCATGCCAAACTAGGTCGGATTTCCTGAATATCGAGGGAGACCAGATGGGACTTGCTATGGTGATCAATTACTGGAAACCAGGCGTGTGCCAATAGACCGTCAATAGCAAAGGTTATTTATGCGGTCCTTAAGCTCATAGAGTTCCAACGGGGACCCGCAACAGCCATTCATTCCACTTTGTCATAAATTACCGCTGACTAAATACCACTGACTTCAATTAGAGCTTACCCGTGGGGATCGAAATTGTCAATGACGCAGAGTTTGTCGAAAATATACAGAACCGCTAACCGATTGAATTAGCTCGATATAGCATTCACTTTGATTCACCCGAATACAAATACATTTGTCATCACTCCTAATGACCAGTTGGATGCAATGCGCGTCTCTCTACTTCTGGAGAAACTTGACGTTTGTGGATGGCATCAGAGACGAAAATATAACTTGCAAAGCAAAAGCTAGACTGATGTTCTCTAACCCGAGAAACTTGTAGTGCCACTACATTCATCTTTACCTGAAAAGGTTATAGCGCAGTTCGAAGTGATTTGTTATAAGTTTGCGATTGTTCACGGCGGGAATGCTTGAGGACCCCCGGTATTCGATCGATGTTGTCTCGAGGCGGTATTCAAAAACCTTTTTATTTAGGCTATGACAAAGGAGACAACAATGAAGAATATAACTCTACAATCCGAACTACGCACTCCTTGAGCATATCAAACGGCGTCAATGATTGAAAATGCAATTTGCCGATACCACAAACCATAAGCCTTAAAGAACCAGTGGTTAATGATGTAAAATACCGGTGCCACATTATATGAACACTCATGATTTTTGAACGAAACGGGTAGGTATGATCGTTAAAAATACGTCCGTCTTCTATTTCACATTTAACTTATAAATGCGGCGCTAAATAGAGAATGTACTATGTGCAAGAAAACACCCCATTCTTGTCCAAAACCCATCAACAGACTAAATCATGAACCAACCATTTAAAATGTTCACATAGGTTTTGTTTTTGTTCGTTTCTGTATGACTAATGAAAAAAGACAGCGGACAAAATACACTGGAGAAAGTGAGAAATAGCCAGAGCGAGTAAATGAACTGAGGTCACAATTATCGTGGATGGGAACACGGTAAATGAGTGATTTCCAACAGTGAAGTCGAGCAACGGTACTCGATTGATTGATGGTTTGGTTGTTTGGTCAAAACCTGTGCGAATACACCCACACACGCGCGCACATATACACACAGCGTGTGCACATGCATAATGCAAAGGTGGATGAGCGAACATGTGTACGAAGACAACAACAGTTCCAGGGAATCAGTGGCGGGTAACAACTGAGAGCCAGACCAGGTTGGGATACGAGAATGGGGGACACAAGTATGGATGCATCTGGAAAAGTTCGATTACGCCTGAATGGCGCGTAACGGTGGAATGGGAGAGAATGACAAGGGTAGACTCTACGGGCGAAACATAGACAAACGAGGGAGGATACAGGAACCACGTGGCACAACCAAAGCGGAATAAATGGGTCGAAGTAAGACAGAGACCGTGGGGAAAGGCTTGAGCGGCAAGGAAGAATGGAAAAAAATATTTGGCAAGCACCTCACACTGGACTGAAGAGTTATTGATACATGTGGATCTCAGATAAACTGCAAGAGACGCACGGAAGCGTCATGTGCGGCCGGGTCCAACGGACGAAACAAGCACCATCCTGATGAAGAGACCAAGGACAGCACACAACGAAGAACGTATAAAAACTAGAACGGAGGCGAGTTGGTCACCAGGTTCGACAAAGATTGGTGAGACAAACAGGGAGGGTAATGAAGAGAATAGTGAGAATCCAATGGTATTCAACATTGATGGCTGGTATTGCTAATGGTAAACATACTGTCAGGGAGCAGCACATTATGGTCGCATCACATTAGATCGGATCACATCAGGATGCATCGAAATGAAGCGAAGAGAAAGGCAGATGGGCTATTGTCATCAAAAGACGGAAAATAGACACTGGAGGCGGATGCGAATGAAAGGAAGGGGGTGAAATGGTGAGTCAGAAGAGGACCGGGGTGGGACAGAATGAAGTGGAGGTGGAAGGGGCTGTACACAATTTCAGGGTCATGGAATAACGCATGTTCCACTAGGATGGAGTCTGAGGTGATTGTGTGTGGATACAAGACTACGGAGGAACACTTGAGGTGCCGATCAGGCACGGGTTGATCAGAACCCGANNNNTTGGTGGGGTTGTCAACACAAACGAAAGAAAAAGAAAATGGAACACAAGAAATGAGATCTGAATGCTAAGGATATTCGATCCAAGTGCCTGAGGATTGCATGCGTTTGATTTTGGCCCGCACAGCCATTGCGGTGCGAGTCTCTTTCAGACGAGACGAGGCAATCCGTGAACGGACTTCGTTCAAGGAAGGCAACACACCTGTATTGCCCATTGGTTCAGGTCGACCGGGGAAATAGTCTTGGAATAGATGACTGATCAGACGTGTTTCCCACTCGGCAAACAACCGGCTTCCACTGGTCGGTTCCACATCCAGTCGACGAGGAACGGAGGATTTGGTATTTGGACCACACCGATCTAGCTCAAGGGTATTACCCGGAACAGCATTCGGATTCCCGGTCCCGGCTGCTGCTGCGGCTGCTGCAGCTTGTCGTTGTTGTTGTTGCTGAGCGGACATTTGAAGGTGTTGATTTGCAGCCGCAGCCGCTTGATGCAAAGCGTTTGTGCGCTGATTGTGAAAGGATAGCTGATTCGAAGGATATGTATTTGGGGCTGCTCCGCCAGCACCAGCTTGCGGATGCCGATAATCTGTGTTCGGGGTAAAGAAACGAAGCATTGTTTGCTGCTCCTCCGGTGTGAATGGCAAACGAGAAAGATAAGTTCGGCTTGGAGGTGGAGTTAGTTCTCGATCTTCATCGATATGACGATACCAATAGTGCCATTTCGTTTGACCGGAAGTGCCATCCCCACTCCACGACAGATGGTTTACCCAACGTTGCACATGCATCATTCGTTCCTGTGAACGGCAAAGACGAAACAAAGATTAACGAAGACGATCAAAAGAGAGCATAATAAGTCACGAGGTAAAGGAACCTCGATAATTCTTTGTCATCAGAAGAATAATGGAAGGTAAAGGAGAGATTATCGCTTCTCGTGAGAAACGATTGCTATACGGGAGCCCGCAATAATCTGAACAGTTTTTGTTTGATCAGTAGGAATCACGATCACACATGTGCCCTGCGTTTCAAATATCCTAATGGAGCACTGAAAATAGAAGCTGAATGGCTTTCACCGGCTACAAGTAAACATAAGACAAACGATTCGCATTCAAGGGAAAAATACGCTCTTTTCCGGTGTCTGCCACCAACGTGACTCAGAAATGATTAATTAAAAGACTAGGACACCGTGCACCGCTACCAGGTCAAGTCAAATACAAAACGCATTTAATTCATTTATTGAGATTTAACATCCATCACACGATGATCAGCTACGAGCATCGGGGTGCGACTTGGAGCC